TATTCAACTAAAAAACAACAGAGAAAGTGATGAACACGACTAACCTTTTGGTTGCTCCGTCATAATAATCGCCTTGTCCCTTGAGGATGTGGTCGACATAGGGTGCAACTTGGTTTGCTTCGAATCTCTAACGACTGGAGCCCAAAGCCAACTGTTTTCTCCCATTGTTGATCACCATTCATCCACAAGTTAAAAAAAAAAAAATCAGTTGGATATCCTACATACAGCAGAAAACCAACAAGTGCATATAAATCAAAGATGGGGTCGGATACTATGCTAACCCCTAAAGGGGTAGTGATTTTCGACACCCCCTTTATGATTGGCCAATTTTATTTCCAATCATTGGCAAGTATTAATTAAACTGGTTTTTTTTTTTTTAATCTTGTAATTTGGGGTCTCTCACCCACATTGGAAAAGGAAAGAATATGGGAAATCAGAAAAAAGCTCCCCCCCCAAATGTGCAATTAATTGCCTTTTTTTCTTCCTTTCGTCTCCTTCTCTCTCCATTTGGGCCCTCTTTCCATTTTGATTTCATTTTAACCAGAACCCTCCTCTACTCTGAAACGACCAAAACCCTCCAGCGCCTTCCCCCACCACCATCCTCCTATCTCCAGCTGCCGCCATCCTGGGATCGCCTCTGACCTACCAATGGAGTGGTACGTGTACCAGTGGAGTGGTACGTGTACCAGTGGAGTGGTATTTGTATCATTGAAGTGGTACTGCATTGTTGCTCCGTTATTGTTTATCATTGTTATGAAAAATATCATTGCACTGGTATTGTTCTCACTCTAACCTACCTTGTGGATTGCTCGCACCAGTGGAGTGGTACGTGTACCAGTGGAGTGGTACGTGTAATTAATGTACCAGTGAGAGAAATTAATTATGTAATTAATGGGGGTGATTTCGTTTTTCCTCAGATTCTTTCTCTTTTCCAATGTGGTGAGAGACCCCAAATTACAAGATTAAAAAAAATAAAAAACCAGTTTAATTAATACATGCCAATGATTGGAAATAAAATTGGCCAATCATAAAGGGGGTTCAAAAATCACTACCCCTTTAGGGGTAGTCAAGCTAACCGATCCCATCAAAGATCCTACAGAAAGCAACAAAAAACCAACAACTCAATCAATAAATTAGCATATTTGATATAAAAACCTGACCATACAATCGACACATTAAGTATTTCAAACAAAATTTTCAACACACACATAAAATAGGGCGACAGAACAAAGGGGGTGGGCTGGGGTAGGGGTGGGCATCCGGTTCGGTAAACCCGGACCGAACCAGACCGAAACCGAGCCAACCCGAACCAAAACCGAACATTTGTTATTCGGTTCGGAATTCGGAACTGAAAACCCTATATTTCGGAAACCAGGATCTGTCCAACCGAACCGAGTTTCCGATTCCGAACCGAGCAACCGATCATCCCAACTCTCACACTCATAGCCCACAACCCAAAGCCCAATCTCACACACTCACACCCCAATCCCAAAGCCCACAACCCCAAGGCCCAAGCCCTCCCTCTCTACATTTGTTAGTGGAACCCTAGCCCAGACCAAACCTCACCACTAACCACTCTCAATCCTATCACTCACATGCAGCAATCGCAGCCGCCGGCAGAGAAAGGAGACTAGAGAAGACTTGGCAGATTGGGTGGGATTCTAGGGGATTTAGCTCGTCTCCAACAAAATCACCTCCCATCCCACACCCAATATGCATCCCCTTCAATCCAATCGCGCCGTCGACAGCCACATGCAGGCGACGGGAAGTGGAAGGGTCGCGGTGGGAGAGGACGACCACGGCGGCGGAGGGAGCTGAGCACGACCACAGCGGCGGAGGGAGCTGAGTGCGACCACGGCGGCGGAGGGAGCGAAGCCTGATTTATCCTTTCGCCGGCGTCGGATCTGACGATTCAGAAGAAAGTTTCTCGAGGAGGCGGCCATGGCGGTGATGCTTCCTCTGGGCTGGGGACTGCGACCAGCGACTGCTTCTGGGCGAAGTTGAACTCTGATGCTGCTGGGGGGTGGGAGAAGGAAGAAGAGGAGGTGGGAGAGGGAGAAGGAAGATTGGGTTTTGATTTTTTTGGCTGTGGGTCTTCAATGAGAAGATGAAGTAGGGAAAGCAAGGAGAGAAGTCGGGTTCGTCGGTTTTTTAGTTCCGAACCGGAATATATTTCAGTTCGGCCAGACCGAACCGAAATATATTTCGGTTCGGGATCGGTTTCAACTTCGAGTTATATTAGGGTACCGGTATGCTTAGTTCGGTTCGGTTTGAACCGAACCGAACCGATGCCCACCCCTAGGCTGGGGGATATCTTGTTATCAATAGGCGAGTCACATCGCAAAATTCTAAGCATACTATCAAGAAATGAACGCATTTGAAATGCAGAAAAATCAATGACATCACAAGCTTACCCCCAATCCTGCTCACCAAATAAGGAAGGGATTGGTCCGCGAAAGTGGAGTACCATGAGCTGCCACTCGATATAAAACCATGGTCGCCTTTATCTCTATATTCATGTGACAAAGGAAGGATATGATTACAACACTACTTTTCACTATCGAGAAATTAACGCATTTCAAATCCATCCAAAAAACTCGGGCATGACAAACTGACCCTTACTCTCGCTTACCGAACGAGGAAAACATTGTCCACGAAAGCGGGGTACCATGAGTCGACCATTTGATAAAAGGATTTCCCTAACAACCTTCTACTTCTCCTCAATGGTTCTATTGGAGGCAAAAAAAAAAAAAAAATGACATCGACAAACAAAACCCTATAAATGAAGCTACTGGATATAACTCTGGCTTTCAATATCCATTTCCAGACCAAGAACCAGTCAAAGTAGGAGTATTACATTTCACCCAAGCAATCCAAAGAGATCCACTCCCTGCAAGTACGTTCCACAGATGTCCAAGAACACATGCTTTATTCCAAGTTCGAAAGTCACCAACTCCCAAACCTCCCTCTGCCTTAAGTAGAATCACATATTTCCGCGCAACAAGAACTTTACTACGAGTACCAGGACGCCCCACACTCAATGAGAATTCATTGCAAATCACTTCAATATCATTTAGAACATAAGGTGGAAGCAATAAAATATTCATCCAAAACTACAAAACACTCAATATGACATGACATGTATTTTTCCAATTGCATAACCAATTACATTAATATTGCTACCATTGCATATTTGCAATCTTGAAACATATGCAATTGCATATGAAAGCCAAAATGACATAAAAAATGGGAATTCTTTATTTTATTTTCTTTTCTCTTCTACTTTATTTTTTCATAAATCAAACACAATATTTATTAATTCATTGTGCAATTGCAAGTAAATTGCATTGATGTAGGTACAATGGCATTAATATGAGTTGGATTGCAAAAATTGTTTATGTGGGAATCAAATCATGTATGCAATTGATTTTGCAATTACATTGATGTGGATGCTCTTAAAAAAAATTTCCTTTAATGAGGAAAATTAGTTCGAATGGAATTCACTTACAATGGAGTAAGAGTTTTACAAACTATTCACATTTTTCATCAAACTTTGCTGACATAGCTCTCTAGTTGGGAGATCACGACATGCCTTCAATGGTAACCGCAAGACCTACATAGTGAACCCATGATAGACATCAAGCAAACGACCCCTTGATTTAATTTTTTCATCCCAGGCGTGAGTATAATCGACCTTACCATGGATGTTTGCATTCCAGGCCATGATAGACATCAAGCAAACGACCCCTTGATTTAATTTTTTCATCCCAGGCGTGAGTATAATCGACCTTACCATGGATGTTTGCATTCCAGGCCTGACCCACCTTGACAATAACCACCAAACCAAAAATAGGGTAGACCACTGGTGCACGAATCAGATCAGCCCGAGTTCGGCTAGACTAGAATCCCACCAAGATGGGGTCTGCCCACGAACCCAACCAACATGCCTCTCCCGCTGCCATCGTTGTCGAGTAGGGGTGGCAAATAGTTCAGGCGGGAGGGCATCTCAATATACATACTTTTCTCGCACTGAGTACGGGCCATGTCTGGTAATATTCGCGTGGGTACAAGACTGGACGACATATTCTCATTTATCATTTGAAGAATATAAATTCAAAAAAATAATTGTTTTATGATAAAAAAATAAAGTAAAATATTTTATAAATAAAAAATAGTGATAATGTGACAACAAATCCATAGGCCCCATGGTCCAAATTCTTGGGTCCCACGGGTTTGAAAATTCCACTTTTTTAGGTGGAATTTGATGATGGACTTTAAAGTCCATCATTTGTGATGAAACTACCCCTCGTATTATGTTTCTCATCTCATACCCCTCTATAGATCATTTTCACTTTATGCACACAAATCTAATAAACCAATACTATCATGAAATTAATGAAACAAACAATGATAAAGTCCACAATGATCCCAAACCCATCATATATTCATGATTTTATAAAACTCAAAATTTACCAAACATTTATTTTTCAAATCCATAAAGCAGACCACCCGCAAAATAACGCAAAATAAAATAAGGAGGTAGCAGACCCCAGTCCGGATTTACAAGTTATCAAGCCCACTCATTGGGCCCTTTGAGCTTTTAGTGCATTAAACCCTTTTATTCCCTTGAACCCTCATATACCGATTTATAAAAGGAATCTGTCCCCAACTTTCTCCACACGTCTCCCCAGTTCCACCGACCACCAACAACTGATTTTCAAACGGCGAACGTGAATGAAACTGCCTACGTGGACCACAACTTGTAAGCACCCATCTTTGCTGCGAATCACCAACCAATAGGAGTCGAGAATTCACATACTGTGATCCGTGTCACCTCATAGTATGCAATCGCAGCCGTCCACTAAACGCAAGAAAACACAAATCAGTGTCCTGCAAACCGTTGGATGATTTACCGAACTAGCACACGGATAGTCTATCACATCCGTCGATCCTTGACGACCGCACATTATAAATAGGCCTCGATGGCGTTTCATCTCAGAACTTTTACGTGCTTTTTAGAGAGAGAGAGAGAGAGGCAGAGCAGAGAAGAGAAGAGGAGCGAGAAGGAGAAGAAGAGGAGCGAGGAGGAGGAAGGTCAAAGAGGTATGGGGGATCTTTTCCTTGTTTCTTCCGTTTCTATGAATAGGACTAGTCATCTATAGCGTTGTATGCGTCAGATTCTTGCTTCGTTGCTTTCGATTCAGTCCGTCTCTTTGTTTCTTCTTCATCTGGATTTCTCCCATTTCCCTTGATTGCACTGCCAGCTGGTTAGTAAATTAGGGTTTTTTTTTTGTCATTTAGGTTTGATTAAGTCGTTTAGCGTTGATTATCGTCGAGGAAATGTATTTTCTTCGCTTCCAGAATGAATTCCGCTGCAATTGGATACTGTTTGTTTAGGTTTGGGGGTTAGGGACGCATTAATTTCTGTCTATGAGATCTAAAGAGTGGTCTTTAGTTTTGGCTCCATGTCTAGTTTCTGAGTCGAATAAGTTCATCTTCCTCCCAATCTGGGGCGATCAGTAGAATTCGAATTGGTTAATTGTGAACTTGGGATATAGATTTCCTGCCCGAGGTTTGTGGTTGGTACTAAGTGTTGTGTTCTTCTGCCGCAGATGGCTCGTACAAAGCAAACTGCCCGCAAGTCCACTGGAGGAAAAGCTCCCAGGAAGCAGCTCGCCACCAAGGTTTTTAGTCCTTTCCTTACCCCATCAACTCCAATTTGTTCAATTTCTTCGCCTATCTGATGTGCATGTGGAATCTAAGGGGGTTTTTTCTCCGTTCTTTGATAGGCTGCCCGTAAGTCTGCCCCTACCACTGGTGGTGTGAAGAAGCCCCATCGTTACAGACCTGGAACTGTTGCTCTTCGGTGAGTTTGAATTGTGCTAAATACAAATTAGTCTGCTTTCAACTTAAAGCATAATAACCATTCTGATAGATAGTTTGTTTATATGGAGTGCAGTGAAATCCGTAAGTACCAGAAGAGCACTGAGCTTCTGATCAGGAAGCTGCCTTTCCAGAGGCTTGTTCGTGAAATTGCACAGGACTTTAAGGTAACTAGTATGCTCAGAATTCAATGAGGTTCTTGTTCTCTTGGTATTTGCTGCGACTGTACTAATCCTTTAATATCGACTATGTTGTTTTTTTGCAGACTGACCTGCGTTTCCAGAGCCATGCCGTTCTTGCTCTGCAGGAGGCAGCTGAAGCTTACCTTGTTGGGCTGTTTGAGGACACCAATCTGTGCGCATCCATGCCATTCATGCTCATACTGTTCTTCAATTCCTTCGTATTGAGCCTCAGCCTTCGAAAGGGGGAGATACTTCAGGACCCGCATTAAAGAAGCTCAAACCCAAGTCACTCTCCAAAATTAGGGATCTTGGTGAAACCTCATCTGTTTGCAAAAATCTCCTCATCTCCTTTGAAGATGACGAGGCTGAACTTGAACCAGAATCCATATCAGAGAAAGAAATAAAATTGTTTGCTGAAGACCTAGAGAAAGAACTAATGGAAGATGATACTGATATTCAAGTCGAAAGAGAATTGGACGAGGCTGCTGGAACGCAGGGGGAGATTGTGGTCACTCAGCCTGCAAATGATGAAGCACGGATCTAAGTCTCAGGGGGAGTCAGAGTAACCAGCATCTAAGAAAGCTGATCTTAGAGAATAAATGTTTAAGTAGATTACCATCGTTTGAGTGTTAAAGACCATAAAGGTCTATTTGATTGCTATGTTTATCAAGACCATAATGGTCTAAGTTTATCTTCATGTTCTTGGATTGTCAAAATAAATCGTTCAGTGTTCATTGATGTGTGATAAGAAGTTTCTTAAGATACAAGTATGCTTTTAAGTTAGTAACTGTTTTGAGTGCAGGACTCCGGGTGACTTCTGTAGGAAAGTTGACTCCAGAAGTGCAGTCTCAAGCGCAGGGGGAGATTGTTGGGCCTTGGCCCTGTCTTGCTCCAGGATCCATAAAAGCCCAGTCGAGCACTTAAGCCCATTCGACTAGCCTCGCACTCGACAAAAGACAGAAGCGCTTCATCGTCTTCACTTCTGTCATCAGCCGCATCAAAAACCTTAAAACAAGAAACTCCAACCTCGATCTTCTCCATCATCAATTCCCCTGCAACAGAAACATACATTGAAGAAGGGTGGCAGGAAGGCTCCTTCGAGTCTATTTAAAGAAAGGCACAGGGAAGAAGCAAGGCGCGGGTTTCCTATTCTCAGTAAGAGTGTTCTGTCTCTTTGGGAGTCTAGGACTGGGTCGTTGTTAGTGTCTGGAAAGCTTGAGTTGGGGCTGTGGCCAGGGACTCAAGCTTGTCTGGGCATAGCGCGTTGTCTTCTTGTTTGATTTATGATTGCTCATCTAAATCTGTATTGAATCAATCAAGTGATCTCTCTTCCCTATTCGAATTCTGGTTAGGGTTTTGCAATCTCCAGTCTTTGATATAATTGAGTATTGATTCTGATCTAAGCTTCATCTTTAGTATTGATAATGACCATGGAAGTAGATACATAGTGAAATTACAATAATCCCACAACCCGCTTGAACCGGAACCCAATTGAACCCAGCCCCAACCCGCCCGATTGACACAGAAAAGCAATGGAAGGAAAGAGAATTTTGTAACTAATTAAAAAATGGTAAATTGCAAGTTTGGTTATTAAAAAGTTCACGTTTGTCACTAAAATTAATTTATTTCATTCGTGTCACTTAGATTGGTATAACAATTCAAGTTTGGTCACTGTCCATTAACTTTATCTAACGTGACAGTCAACTCTGTGAGTTGACCGTTAAATAAGTGACGTGGCAATTTAAAAATTGAATTTAATATTTTAAAGATTCCACCTCATTATCACAATAATAATTGCAATAAAAAATGCAAAATCGGAAAAACAAAATCCATTGCCCGACCCTGCCGATGAACCTTGATATTTGATAATAACTAAAAAAAATGAAAAATTGATGCTTCTCTGATGAGATGAACATCTCGGCCTCGAATGGAGCCCGTAAGTGCCCATGGCAGCAAAGCTCTGAGGGATCGTCCCGTCGGGCAGAGTAAACAAGCTTCACACCGTCGATTCCTGCTGCCGCCAAATTAAATAGCTACGTGTGAAGCTCGTTGTACAACTTGTACACATTCTTCGAGCTCATTCTCCACGACTCCCTTCGACACCATAGGATACTTCATCGCCGATTCGTACCCCTCCAACTCCTTCACTCTCGGCCAGATGTCGCCCCAGTATCCGGTCATAGCGTGCCAGACGTAGACGAATTTCAATTCGTGCCTCTGTTTGGCGATGTTGACGATGCTCTTGATCCCGCTGCCGGATCTTGCTGGTTGTGGAATTTCGAGTTCTCCTTGATTTCGGTCAATCTCATCACTGGCTGTTGCTGCGATTCGTGGGTTTCTTTCTATATATCTCCGCCGACGGACTGCCATCCGTTAGTTAATTATAAAATATATGACATTTTCAATTTAGCAAAGTCAAGCATAAAAGGTCTCACATCACGTTAGTCTAGTCAGCAAAGTTAGTTAGTCCAGCCGACATGTAAGCTCACACCGTTAAAGAATTGCACGAAAGTGGCTATAACTGATATTTAGAGATAGGCATTGCGCAATGGGTGGGCTGGGTTGGGATTTTTGGGCAAAATTCACCCACCCATTGTTACGGTGGGTGATGAAAAAATGACCCATGCCCACATCGTTGTGGGTGGGTTGGATGGGTGACAGTGGATGGTGGGTGGATTTGGCGGTTTTGGTGGGTCAAATTATTTTTAAATAAGTAGACAATTACGAGCCATAAAAGTTTGTATTAAACTAATTGAATATCAATACTACAAATCAAGAAAATTGATAGCTATTAAACGTAGTTTACTCGATAATCTAACACCAATTATATCATATGCGACAAAATATTTTGTTGATAGTTATCATATTTTAAAATGATCGATTTGATGTTGAAAATCAAGTAAAATTTATAAAATATAATTGTAATTTAATTGAATCAAACACGATTGAAGTTTTGGTATAAAAAAAATAGTGTTTTAATATATCATGTGATTTTGCAGGCAATGGGCCACCTGCTACCCACCCACAACCACCTGCCACTCACCCAAATTTATTGGGTGGCAAAAATGATAACTCACACCCACCCACCACATCCACCCAAACATGTAATGGGTGGGTTATAATCGGGTGGGTTGGGTTGGTGATCACATTCATCCGTGCAGATTATTGTCAGTGGTTAGCACGTGTCAACTTAGAACCTCCTTGAAGTTGAGGTTCTCGTTGGTGAGGTGGTGTCTCAAGTCCCAAGCATTGGACGAGTCCATGATTGAGGGCTCGTGAACTTGAATTGTCACGAGGCTCCACCCACGAGACCTCTCCTTCCTTTCTTCATCTCTCTTATCTTTGCCCCACACAATGTAGTCCAAACTCTATTGACTTCCATCGCATCCACCAAGAGGGATTGCCGATGGTTTGGTCTTGACTTGGCAAAAAGTTGCAAATGGGTCCTTTTCGATTAGTGCATCAAGGTTGGGTGGAAAGCTTTGGTGGCATGCATAACTTGTGGAAGCTTCATCCGTCCCAACCTTGTCCTCATATTGGACTTCATTTGCATCTTTAACCTCCCTTCCTTCTTCTTCAATTTCTTCCTCCACTTAGGAAAAGGGCTTCCTCTTCTTTGACGCTCACTTCCTCATCCTCAATCTTCCTTCTCGCCTCTTCTACCTCCTTTTCCTCTTAAAATGGTAGGAGATTATTGTGAGAAAGTTGTGCACATGCTTGCTTGACAATCTCTCCTAGTCTCTCCATTTTTCGGAGGATCTCCTCCGATGACTGTAGAAGGGATGATTCGATAGGGGTGGTGGTTGAGGATTCCACATTGGAGCATGCTTCAGTATCCCGGATGAACCGCTCCACCGTGAGCTCCAATTGGCTCATCGACTATTGTGGAGTGTAGAAAGATTGTTCCACACTTGAGGGTGCTCCATCAGATCCCCGGGCAAACCGTTCCACCAAGAGTTCCAATTCTCTTCTTGGCTCCTCTTGTGGAAGGAAATCTTCTTGGAATGAGGAAGCCTCTTCATATCCCCATTGGCATGGTTCTTCTTCTTGGAAGGGAGTTTGGTAAAAGAATCTGAACCCTTAACTTCCACCATCTTGATTGTTCCATGAAGCTTCAGGGTAACTTTCTTCGGGTATTGATGAATACCCCCACACTTTGGTGAAGTCATAAGGATCCATGATTCAAAAGCTACTACGCAAACAAAAACACTAAAACGAAAATAAAAAACGCACAAACCACCTTTCGGAGAGAAGAGTGGGTGAAAAACAAAGCACAAAAAGGAAAACGTATTATGTACTACTACTACTAATAATAATAAGGAATAATGATTAAACTAACAACTCAATGGTTTTATACTAGTTTCCAAGGTTCCCCGACAATGGCACCAACAAGCTTGATCACATTCATCCGTGCAGATTATTGTTAGTGGTTAGCACGTGTCAACAACCACCCCATCCTATGCCAAATTTAACCTAAGATGGAATTGTCGTATAGTGGAAATCAAGATCGTATTCTACTCGGGTCCTGGTACCCTAGCCTACTTCACACCTCTTTGTTATTTGGTTGATCGGCTTGAAGGTTTGTATGGAGGATTTGAGTGAATTAACTAGTCTAGAGATCCAATAAAGATAAAAGCAGATACTTTGGGGAACTATCTATCACCCCTAGCCTAGGGCTACTATGTAATGGACTTTCGTGGTTATCCACACGCCTCCCCTAGATCCATATATAGTCACCTCGATCTAGGCTATAGTATCTGGGCCATTACGCTCGTAGCTCCTTTCAATGGGTACTACTCACCGTCCACACCGAGGTTTCATCCCGGATTCTATCTAGGAAGTCTACCTATGGCAGTGGTTCGGTCGCCTCTACCACCATAAGTCCCTATTCATACATATAACATCGATTTGCTTGATGGTGCAAACTCATCTAACTCTAAAACTCCAAACCCAGTGTAGAATCATAAAGTAGGCTAGTAGAGAAGATTAGGGCAACTTACCCAAACACAATCA